AGCTTTCTTTCTATCAAGATGGGGTCTCCCAAACTCTTTCTCTGAGCCATATGAGAACAGCTTATTTTGTGGGAATGTGATACCTCTTGTCATCTTGAGTACATCCCCCTTGACAAAACATCATTGGTTATGATTTTTTCTGGCTAGAAAAACACAACCATCAGAAGGTAGTCTAGGCCCTTCTGAGCTGAGGCGGGGGTGAGGGGCGCCTCTGGACTCATGCTCCTCCTCTGGAAATGCCTTCTCTTTTCTAGCTCACACTTGCTCCACAAGGGGCCTCTCTGTGGAAGTGACCCGACCTCTTGGAGACAGTGCCCACCTGTGGGTGAAAATTGTCCTTTATCCTCCCTGACTAGTGAGGCCAGCTGTGTGGCTGGAAGGCTGTGTGGTTGTAGTTCAGAAACACCAGTGTTAGGGCTGGTGGAGTGGCTCAAGTGGTAGGAACACCTGAGGCTCTGAGTTCAAACCCCAGTACTGCCATAATAAAAGAAAAAGAAAAAAGAAACACCATTGTTAATCCCTGGCTCCCTCAGCCAGGCCCTGGGAGAGGGTGCAGAGAGGATTAGGATGCAGCCCCTGCCCTGTGTGCTTGGTAAGCCTGTAGAAGATCGCAAGCATGATGGTGGCCTCTGTGCTGAGAATGCAGGACTCAAAGGACAGGGTCAGTGGAGGCCATGCGTCTCTTGGGCGGTGACTTCTGGGCCTAAGATGTCCCAGGAAGCAGTGTGTGCCCAACTGGGGGCCATGGATATGTGCAGAGGGCACTTGGGGACCACAGGACACAGCAGGAGACCACAAGGCTGGAAGTGAGAGTGGAGAGTGGGGTGTGTCTCGAGAGGTCAGTGAGGGCCGCTGGAGTCCAGCCTTGAATGTCCAGTGAAGGGTCCTGACTTGACTTGGCAGCTATGGGTGGGAGAGAAAGGTTTTTGCCACAGGGGATCCAGGCTGACGTGTGTGCTAACCACGTGCTCTGACCCTGTTGCACCAAGTCCTGTTAGAAGGAAGCCCCAAGTGGAAGGTAACACCACGTTGGCTCCCTGTGGCCTGCAAGGCATTGTCAAAAGGAGGGGGCCCTCATCTTCCCCTTCCTGCCAACCGCCTTGGTAGGCAGAGGGCAGTCTTTACAAGTGCCCAGGTGATTCTATCTACTGGACATGGCCTGAGCTCTGACTCAAAGTTAAGTTCATGTTCTTGCTTACATTTACTAGTGTGTGTCTTATCTTGCTGGCTTTGGAGAAGAAAATGAACAGGAACGATTTGATTTCCTGATAGCTTCCCACCCACTTAGTACTTCTTACTCATGTGGCTGCCAGCAGAGAATGGAGGCTTTAAAATCTGCCTCTTTCACCAGCAAACAAATTTCAGCTCTGACTCAGCCTCACCGTCCACCTGGGGTGAGGACAGCAGTGGTTAATGAGGGCAGGGGGGTAGTTGACACCTCGCTTGGCTGACCTGACAGGCAGATGGAGCTGGCCCTTCCCTCCTCTCCCCATTTCTGTCTCCCTCCATTCTCTCTCCCCTCTGGCACTTGTGTGCCACTATCACTTTGGTATGATTGAATTGATTGAAGCTGAGGTTCAGTCTGTCTTTGTGTGGAAATGCAAGAACCAGATTCTGGCCAAGTGTGGTGGCTCCCGTCTGTCATCCCAGCCACTCGGGAGGTGGAGACTGGGAGGATCAAGATTTCAAGGTCAGCAAGACCCCATTTTAGTCAACAAGTTGAGCGTGGTGGTGGGCACCTGTGGTCCCAACTGCATGGGAGGATTGTGGTCCCAGGCTGGCCTGGGGAAAAAGCACGAGACCCTACCTGAAAAATAACTAAAATAAAAAAGCGCTGCTGGAGTGGCTTAAGTGGTAGAGCACCTGCCTAGCAGGTGTGAGACCCTGAGTTCAAACCCCAGTACTGCCAAAAAACAAAGCAAATCTGAATTCTGGGGCTGCAGCCAACCCTGGATCCTGTCCTGCCCCAAAGGAACTTAAATGAAAGGGAATCGAACATTATGAGATGGCTTGAAGATTTTACGTTGTGGGGAGCATTTTAACATTTCAAGCTTTCCAGTGTACAGGAATATTACAGTTGTCTCTCTGTATCCAAGGCGGATTGGGTCCATGACCCACTGGGAATGGCAAAATCTGCTGGTGCGCAAGTCTGTGAAGTATGAAATGATTGAGGATTTGTGTGTACTTTGAATGACCTCCACGTTCTCATATGCACACCAATATAAATGCCATGTAAATAGTTACCTGTGTTATTTGGGGAATTATAATAAGAAAAGTCTGTGTGTGTTCAATTTAAAAAAAAAACAAAACATTTTCAGCTTTGGTGCAGTGACTCACCAAAAAGAAAGGACTGTGGTCCCCAGGCCAACACAGGGCAACAGCCTATCTGAGAAATGACTAAAAGCACAAAGGCCTGGGGAAGTGGCTGAAGTGGTAGAGCACCTGCTTAGCAACCGCAAGGCCCTGAGTTCAAACTCTAGTACTGCAAAAACAAAAACCTAAAAACCATGTGTTCAGTCCATGGTGGGTTGAATGTACAGGTGCAGGTCTCGTGCATGAAACGCAAAGAAAATTAAAGTTCCCTTCAGTCTGAGCCAGCGACAGCCACCTTCCAGACCACCTGAGGCCTGGCTGTACCTGGATTCACTTCCAGGAGACAGTGCTCTCTAGAAGTGGAGTCACATGCATTTGCTGTTTGGCAGTCTAGTTTTTTCCGTACATAATAGAGACTCTTTCTAGGTTCTGAGCGTCCTCCTCTTTCATTGCTGCATGATATCACATTCTGTAGATAAACTTTTCCTTTATTTTCTCCATCTGCATTTCCCCCATTGTTAGCAATCAATCTCTGTGCAATTATCTCCTTAAAACTAACTTCCCACATGTGGCAGAGCTGTAAGAGACAGTGCGTCCATTTTTAATTTTTTTTTTTGGCAGTACTGGGATTTGAACGCGGCCTCCTGCAAGCGCTCTACCACGTGAGTCACACTCCTATCTGCTTTTGCTGTAGTTTGTTTTTTCACATAGGGTCTTGTGCTTTTGCCCAGGCTGGCCTCAGACCATGATCCTCCTACCCCCTGAATCCTGAGTAACTGGGATTACAGGTATGCACACCCACACCTGGCCCCATTTTCAGTTTTGATGTATTTATGCAAGTGTATTCTTGGTCCAGCCTGGACAGATGTATACTCTCACTGCAGTATAAAGAGCGCGTACTTCCCCCACACCGTGGGGAAGTCCTAAATGTCAACATCGGGCTTCAGTGACTGTAAAGGATTCTGCAACAACTCTGGCTTTTAAACCCATGCAGATCAGTGTGGCTATATCACCACAGTTGTGTCTAACACCCTTTCTTTTTTTGTCAAAGCCTAGAACTGGAGGCTCTTACAGAACTGGCAATAACTACAAAGCCACCCAAAGCAGTGCTTTCATCTGATAGACAAGGAAACAGTGGCTCAGAGGCCACTGGCCTTCCCGGGTAGGGGTGGCACTGAGGACCCTTGTCCTCCAGGCCATGCTGCCTCCCTCCCTCCCTCCCCCCTCTGGGAGAGCACAAGTTTCCCTGCCACATACAAACTGAGCCGCTCCCTCCTCCCACTTCCTTTTCTTCTCTTCTACCCAGAAGTAGCGTCCAGCTTTGCTCCCTGGCTCAGGGCCCATTTTCATCTGCCTAGGTATGCCAGCACCCCCCTGTACTTAGGTGACTTCCCTTCTCCCTTCCTCCCCCAGGGTGTGACATCTTGTGCTGTTCCCTTCCCCTGGGGACTTGTGACTTCCACTATGGTGACACATGCTGGTTTTACCTCCTGCTTTGTTTTTCTTCCTTCCCTCCCTCCCTCTCTCTTTCTCTTCCTCCTTCCTCTCTCCCTATTTCCTTTCTTCCTTCATTCCCTCCTTCCATCCCTCCCCATTTCCCTCCTTCCCTCTCTTCCAGACTCCCTCTTTCCTCCCTTTCTCTTTCTTTCTTGTGGTACTGGGTTTTTGAACTCAGGACCTCTTGCTTGCTGGGCTGGCACTCCACCATTTGAGGCACATCTCCAGCCCTTCTTTCTTTAGTTATTTTTTTAATAAAGTCTCATATTTTTGCCCAGGCTGGCCTGGACCACAATCCTCTTATTTACATTCCCCACATAGCTGGGATGACACACATGAGCCACCATACATGGCTTATTGATTAAGATGGGGTCTGGAGAGATTTTTCCTGAGCTGGCCACTATTCTTCTGATCTCCACCTGCTGAATTACAAGCATGAGCCATAGTGCCTGGCTCTCCACTAAGTTCAGAGAACCCAAAATATCCATAGACATCCATTCTTGGTGGAGGGGCAAAATGACCCCTGGTTGAGAACCACTGTCTTAGCTAGACTCAACATCATCAAAACGAAATCCCTACCTGCTCCTTCCCTGCCTTCTCCCCAACTAACGCAGGGTTGACCAGAGGCCCTAAGCTTCCAGCATGACTTTGGGAAGGAAGGGCATGCAGACAGAGGGAAAGGAGCCCAGATCCCAGGGTTCTGAGAGTTGGAAGAGGCCTCTGTTAAGCATAGGTGTGCTAAACTGTCATGGCCTCCTTTCCCTCTGAGCTCAGAGACAGCCTTGATCCTTCTCGATCCTCTCTCAGTACACCCTTTGAATTGCTAAGATGATGTGAAAGTAAGCCTTGTGTCACCCTGCCTGGACCAAAGCCCTTGCATTCACCTGTCTGTTCTAGGGTAGAGTTTAATGGCAGAGAACTTCTTTGGCGTAGCTTTGATGTACTTGTTAAAGGCCAGGCATACTGTGTGCCCAGGACCAGGCCTGGCACATAGCTGGTGTTCAGTACACAGTGGTAGGGTAGATCATGTGAGCAGTGATTCTCTGGGTGGTTGTACTGGGGGTGTGACTCTATTTTTGCATTTCTTCATTTTCAAACCTTTCTGCCTTTGGGGATATTTCTTACATTTTAAGAAGGAAGGAAACCCCAGGAATATTTTCTCCTAATTCAGAAAGATAAAAGCCTCATCATTCTTGCCTCCCCAGGTGTGACCTAGCTCAAACATGGCAACCAGCGCTGTCCCCAGCGACAACCTCCCCACATACAAGCTGGTGGTGGTGGGGGATGGAGGTGTGGGCAAGAGTGCCCTCACCATCCAGTTCTTCCAGAAGATCTTTGTACCTGACTACGACCCCACTATCGAGGACTCCTACCTGAAACACACAGAGATTGACAATGAATGGGCCATCCTAGACGGTGAGTCCCAGTGGCAGCCCTGTGTGGGGTGGGGTGTTATATGGGGAGGGACAGAGAAATTTGACAAGGGGGTAAGATGGTTTCCTTCCTGCTTTTATTATGGGATGGTTGGTATAAGACCCTGTAGATCCCAGGGTGAATTCTGAACAAGGAAAACCTTACTAGAGTGCTTGAAAAGCTTTGTGGAAACCAAAATGTACATTCAACAAAGAAGCCTGGCTAGAATTGTGCCAACTTGGTGATGTTATGTTTTTTATAGCTTGCCTGATCAGAAGCTCCGATTAACAGTTACAGATGCCTCCAGCGAATAAAAAAGGGAAAACCAAATTATTTAATAATAAGCATAGTTTACTTGATAATTATCTCTTTGCAAGGGAAATCTTGCATCTGATCTCGTGTTTCCAGTTTGGTTCAAATTACTATTTCTCCAAGTGGTAGCCAGGGAACTTACTAGAAATGCAAACTCTCAGGCCCCTACTGATTCAGAAACCATCGGGGTGGAGCTGCACGATTGGAACACGCCCTCCATGCAATGCTGCACTGAGGCCACTGCTCCAGATTCCTGTGGATTATTTGTTTGTGATTCTCTTTCTTAAACAAAGCCCCACAAAGCCTAGCATGTTGGCCTAGGAAACCTTTGACCTTTGCTGCGAGACAAGTCCTCTGTCAGCTGTGTGATTTGCAAATATGTCTTCCCAGTCTGGGGCTCATTCTTATTCCCTTAACTTCTTTCAAAGAGCAGAGTTTTCATTTGGACGAAGTCCACATTATCAGTCCATTTTTATGGATGGCACTTTGGGTGTCTAAGAAATATTTGTCTAACCCAAGGTCACAGTGTTTTTTTTTTTCCTATGGTTTCTCCTAGATATCAAATGGTTTCAGGTTTTATGTTTATGTTTCTGATTTATCCTGAGTTAAGTTTTGCGTGTGGAGGTGGAGTAAGTTCCTTTTTCTGTGAATGGAAATGTAGTCGTCCAGCACTGTTTGTTAAATGTTTGTCTTTTCCCCATTCAATGCCTTTGTAGCTCTGCTGAAAGTCAGTTGTCCCTAGAGCCTCCTTCTTTGATCTATTTGTCTTAAGATCAGAACCACATGACTTTGACATTTGTAGCTTTATTTTATTTGGTGGGACTGGGGTTTGAACTCAGAGCTTCCTGCTTGCAAAGCAGGCACTCTACCACTTGAGCCATACCTCGAGTTGGTTTTGATCTGGTTATTTTGGAGATGGGGTCTCACAAACTATTTGTGCAGGCTGGCCTCAAACTCTGACCCTCTTGATCTCAGCCTCCCAAGTAGCTAGGATTATAGGCGTGTCACGTGCCTGTCATCCCAGCTACATGGGAAGCATAAATAGGAAGATCGCAGTCTACACTGGCCTGGGCATACTAGGCCAGTCTTGAAAAATACCTAAAGCAAGAAGAGCTGGAGGCATGGCTGAAGGGGTAGAGCGCCTGACTAGTAAGCATGAGGCCCTGAGTTCAAACCTCAGTGCCACAAAAGAAAAAAAAAATGAGTTGGGGACTATCCCCTTTTCTTCAATTTTCTAGAAGAGTTTGAGTAAAATTAGTATTTCTTCCTTAAATGTTTAGTAGACTCTACCAACAAGGCCATCTGGGCCCATTGTTTTCTTTGTGAGAAGTCTTTTAACTATATGTTAAATTTCTTTAATAGATATGCAGACATTCAGGTTCTCTCTTTATTGTTCTGTGAACTTTTTGTGACTTTCAAAAAATTGTTCATCAAATTTATTGACATAGAGTTGTTCACAGTATTCTCTTTTTGTCTTTCACAATATCTGTAGAATCTGTAGTGATGTCACCTTTCATTCCTGTAATCGGTTGGTTAGTTGTTTTTCCAGATCAGGCTGTTTATTGATTTTCTCAAAGAACCAACTTTTACATCCGTGAGTTTTTCTCACTTGATTCCATTGGTTTTTCACTTTTATTACTTCCAGTTATTGACTTACTTTGGATTTAATTTTCTCTTCTTGTTCTAATTTTCTTGGTGTTTGGGGTCGGGGTGGGAGACAGGGTCTCACTGTGTTGCCCAGGCTGGTCTCAAGTGATCCTCCCACCTCAGCCTCCCAAGTTGCTGGAACTCTACACCACAACCAGCTTTGTTCTAATTTCTCAAAGTCTGAAATCTGAGACATTTCTTCTACTATTGTAATTTGGTGCTATAAATTCTTCCTAACTACTACTTTGCTGCACTTCACAAATTTCAATGTTCTCTGTTTTCATTTTCATTCAGTTCCCATTCTTTCTAAGTTCTCCTTAAATTTCTTCTTTGACTCCCAAGTTTTTTAGAAGTATATTATTTAGTCTTCAACTCTTTTGGAATTTTCCAGAGTCTCTCTGTTCTTGATCTCTGATTCATTGTGTCAGAGAACATATGGTGCATTAGTTGAAGTCTTTAAAACTTATTAAGGCTTGTCTTATTTCCCAGAATATGGTCCAGCTTGGTATCCATGTGTACCATTCCTGGCACACAATTGTTGTTCAGTCAACATTATTTCTCTTTACAGCCATATAAATTTATTTTTTTTCTAAGTAACTTGTATTCTGCAGTCGTTGGGTGGAATATTCTATGAATATCAATCAGGTTGTATTGGCCAATAACAGTGTCTGAGTCTTTCATATCATTTATTTGTTCTCTAAATACTTGTTCTGTCAACGATTGAGAGAGGTGTTCATTTCAGAATATAATTGTGGATTTACCTATATGCTCAGTTTTTTACTTTTTTGTGTGTATGTGTTACTGGGGTTTGAACTCAGAGCCTACACCTTGAGCCACTCCACCAACCCTTTGTGTGTGTGTGTGTGTGTGTGTGTGTGTGAAGGGTTTTTCGAGATTGGGACTCATGAACTATTTGCCCTGGCTGGCTTCGAATGATGATCCTCCTTATTTCTGTCTCCTGAGTAGCTGAGATTATAGGTGTGAGCCCTGGGCACCCGGCTTGATGATGTATTTTTAAGACTCTGATATTAAGTGCATAAATATTTAGGATGTATCTGATATCCTCTTGATGATTTGTCCCTTTATGTTTTATAAAATCATTTTCATTATTCCTGAGTTTCCTGTCCTTGCACTGCAGCCTGGAAGCTCTCTAGGCCACAAGGTGGGTGCTCACAGATACCTGTGCTGACTTTGTATTCCATCTCCCGGGATCACCATCTTTTGTTTCTTGGTGTCTGGTGTCTTGAAGACCATTGTTTCATCTGTTTTGTTCATTTGTTTGTTGTTCCAGGCGAGAAGGTAAATCTGGTCCCTGTAACGTCTTGGCTAGAAGCAGAACCAAATCATCACTTCAAAGAAATGCAACTTTAGGGCTAGGGCATAGCTCCGTGGTAGAGCACTTGCCTAGCGTGTGTGAAGCCTGAGGTTCGATTCCCACCACGACTAAAAGAAAAAGGAAATACAACTTTGTGGACATACTAAAAACCCTAAATTATGTACTTTGAAGGGATGAGTATTCTGGTATATGAATTATATCTCAGTTTTAAACAAGCACCATCCTTCATCCATTCCACAAGGCGACTGACTGAGTCCATTCCCACTTGGGGACTTTGCACGTGGAGTTCTCTCTGCATGGAATGTTCTTTCTGCACAAATCCTCACTTCTTTTAGGTCTCAGCTCAGATGTCACTTTATCTATGAGTTCTTCCTTGCCCAAACCTCCCACACTAGCATGTGCCCACCCCTGTCTCCTCCATCTCCCTGACTTAATCCTGTTTTTTTTCCCTACCTTTTACTATTGAACATATCATGCACTTACTTGTTTGCATTTGGTTCTCCCCACTAAGATATAAAATAATGAGAGCAGGGATTGCTTTATTTGCTGAGGCACCCTCAGCTTCCAGAATACTGCTTGCCTCGTAGTAGGTCCTCAGAAAATATCTGTAGAGTCAATGAATCAGTGAATCCTGAACAGTGCATGGGCAGTCACGAGGGTGAGGGGCTAGCTATATCATCTTATTTTCCTTACCACATTAGAATATATACATATAGTTTAAAATTAAAACATATTTATGTACTTGCTAAAATATCTTCATGCATCACTCATTGGAATACCTACCACACTTTAGAATGTATGGAGATAAATAAATGCAGATATGTTTCTTTACTGTAGTGAAGGGAGTACTGTTTCTCTCGCTCCCTCCCTTGTTGGAGTGAGGTTTTCTCTTTCGTTCCTTGGTTATTAATTACTGGACCTAACTGGGCTTTACTGCGGGCGACTGGAGATTTTAGAAAAGACACAGGACAAAGTTGGTGTCAGGTGTGTTGTACGCTTGGCTGGAGACACACAACCCACATTGCTTCTTTTCTCTGTCTTTGTTCTCTAAGGCCTTGCTCCCTGCAGTTCTTTAAAACCTTGCTTAAAACCTCTTTCCTTAGGCTCGTCCCATGTTTGCTGTATCTTCTCTTTAGCTTAATCGCTTTTAAAGTCTTTTGCCCCCAGGCTTGCACTGTCCCATCTCTCTTTAGCTCTCTTAAAACCTCGGTGCTCAAACTTGCAAACAGCCGAGCCTACAACCTGCATCTGCGTAACTCTTAAGGTCTCGGTTCTTAGACTTGCACTGTGCACTGTCCTGTGTTCTCTTTGGCTTTTCTTCAGCTTTAGCTTTCCTAAGGCCTATGCGTGCAGTTCTTTCTCACCTTTGCTTTCTGAAGACTATGTTAAAGTTCTCAGTGCAGGCTTCCTATCAACCCCTCTTTAGCATTTTCCCTTCAGCAATTCTTTTCCCTTCAGCAATTTTTCCCTTCAGTTATTCTTTTCCCTTCCATAAAGCTTCCCATACCAAAAAGCCCAAAGTAAAAGCGTCTTCCCAATATTCAAAGGCAAAAAGCCCCCTAAAGCAAAAAGCCAAAAGCCCCTCTTCCTCCTTCAGGTGTCTTTTATAGCAGCAAACAGGGTGGAGCCACGGGAGGGGCGTGACATTGTAGCAGGAGAAACCTGCAGTCCTGCTTCTCTGAATGCAGCTTAGGAGACACAGCTGTTC